CAAATAGTATCGACGAACCGGGAGCTACGCGGTTTAAACAGATGTTGTGTGATGAAGAAAACACAGGTAAACGATTGGTGAACATTTGTTCAATCCACTGCATATTTATATCCATACTGTTTAATCTTATTGGTTGCTAACAATAACTGCTACTTCGGCGATCTTCTTCCTGCGTTTGAATGACGAGAAATTTCGAAGCAAGGACGCTCAAAGAATACACCGGTTGCGAAGATAGCTAACCAACCGCTCAGGTGGTGGCCCGCCACCAAATTATCACCCCGGAGGACGCCTGTTCGAATCGCACCATGGCTTGCTTTTCCCAATGATGTGTTTTATGGGAGCCTTTTGATTAGCCACTTACCCCCTCGCTGAAAAGTATATCATTGTGTATTCAATTAAAATGAAAAAAGAATTTAGTGATCTAAATCACATTTGTGAATTTCGAATTAGCTGAAAAACAATAGTAAACAGTGTGCGATATACCGCTAGACTTGTGTAGTAATCCGGTTTCCACACAACATTTGGTTTGCCCTCATTCAATTAAAAAATAAACTGGACACCACTCTCTGCTCCCTAACCTAATACTGACCGACAATGATCGACTAAAAGCAGAGCAAAGGACACTGGTCACAATAATACAGGGTAATCGGCTGTACAAACTGAATTTAGAAGACATATCCTTATGTGATGAGTAGTATAGGTGTTACAACTACCGGGTGTTCACTTATGCCGGTCAGCAACCTAAGAGCGTCGACTTGAAGTGAAGAACCAACGCGGAAAAACATGCGGCATTTAGCTGGCGAAGCTGTCCTACCACACAAGGGAACGGAAACACCATTAGGCAGTCCTAGCACATCAAGTATGATGACACACGATGGTCAGTACACACGATATCCGGGCCAATGACAGGTTGGTTGTGAACCACATCAGAACAGCAACTGTGAGTGAAAAGAAAGAGTGTGTCACGATACAACGTTCGCAAACAAAAAAACAACTGGCGAATTGCAATACGTCAGGGGGACAGAATAAACCCTGAGTGTACAACAACGTTATAGTGGTCGTTGTGTCCAAAATGATACAAAAATAGCAGGTTAGATCTCGTAGAAAGGGTTTTCGTATATGAGTTTGAGACGAATTCTAGTCGATGATGATAGTCATCGGCGTCGTTTTTTTCGTTACTAGATCAAAAGTTTTGTTCGGTTCAGATAGAACCAGCGGAGAGGATGAACGTGGGGCCAACGGCGGATTCGACACGGAAACGCGTTCGAGACATATGCGGCCCTGTGCTACATTGACCTCGGCCACAAATGCGCTGAAACGATCACCCAGATGCAAACTGAACAATCCGGTCAAATCGTTGGTGGATCGGTCGACTGAATTGCGTGGATAGGCCGAACGAGGGATATAAGCATGCTGCTGCACTCCGATATCACAAAATGCACCGAACGAGGTCACATTCTCAACCCGACCGGTCACACGCATTCCGCGTCGCAAACTGCTCAGACTGGTCACGGACGAATGAAACAATGGGAGAAACTCGTCTTTCGACAGCACGTGAATAGACGTGAACAAAAAAGGAGGGGGAGGGAACATAGAATAAAGAATTCGTGACAGCTGGATGATTTCATCAATCACAAAAACACTGGTGTTCTT